AACGCATCTTTAGCACTAGTTTCATAACTTCCAAATGGCATATCACCGACTAGAAATGGGGTTTTTGCACCTCTTGATACTGCCCTACAATGATGAAGCATTTCCTAAACAAAAAAAGATCACAACAAATAAAGTTAATAGAAGAACTAATAATTAAACAAATGAAAAGCCAAAGGAAATAACCTCTATGGTTGTTTGATTGGTGTTTTGACGTCCCAGGGCGACCATTCCTAAAGAATCACCAACCAAACAAATTTCAATTCCCGTTTTTTCAATAAATAATCCGCTTGGATAGTCATAAGCCGTTAATACTGTTATGGGTTCATTATTTTTATAAAGATTTTGAAGAGTTGTTATTGTGACCTTTTTTGGTGCTATTTTAAATTTAAATTTAATAGATCCATATTTAGATAAAGAAGTGAAATTATAAAAGGTTAATTTTTGTCAATTTAATATATTGATTGTAAACCATCATTAAAATATGAATTTTTAACTTTTTGAACTTTGCGTATTCGTAGGTATTGAGCTATAAAATCGCATCAATCTTAAGGATGTATGCATAAAGTTATTTACATATCGATTGGTAACGTTTCTTGTACACTTTAAAATAGTTGGGCCAAATGCATTTCTCATGGTAAACTTTTTTTAGGCTGATTTTCGATTTAATTTTAATATATATAATTATTATATATTGTCGTTGCTGAAATTCGGACCGATTTCGATATGAAAATTTAAATTTTTTTTGAGGATGTTTTTGTCCGCTTTTTTTTTTTTAGGGTTAGATTTAGAGAATTGATAATTAAAGAGTATATGTGAATTTTAGCAGGGTTTATATTTTCAAATCGAGACTCCAAATTTCAGCATATATTAATGATTAATAAGCACAATTCGTGTATACAATAGATGAGATTTACTAGCAAAGGTAAAGATTAGCATGATGCCATCGTACGAATTAACATTCATTGATCTATATAATCTTTATGACCTATCATGGGTCATTCGGTCATAACGAAGGTTGATATGACTTATGACCTGTTTTTAATATAGTAAAAAATTTTTTCTATCGGCATTTAATATGACCGACATGACTATGACCAAAAAATCATATGATTATATGACTAAGGTCATATGATTATATGACTAAGGTCATATGATTATATGACTAAGGTCATATGATTATATGACTTAGGTCATCGGCCAACACCGAGTTACTAGAACACTGCAAATACATTATCTGACATTTCATATAATCATGTGAATTTTTTTGCCATGATATTTTTTGCATGAAATTACGTAATCAGTTTTGCAAAATATCACAGAAAAAAACTTCACATGGTCATATTAACTATCGGATATTGAACATACGTACGACAAATAACAGGCAATTGTTTTTTTCAACGGAGTTAATTTCACTCATGTGCTGCTACGCAGCACATGGAGTGACATTAACTCCGACAAAAAAAAA